ATCCCATCTCTCCATGTCAAAAATGAAGCCATTGTCTAGAATTTGAAAAGCTTGCGTTTGAGCATGCTGATTGATCTGTACCCACGTTTGCCTTGGTGTTGACTTTGTCAGTTTCTGTAGTGTAGTGGTTATCACGTTCGCCTCACACGCGAAAGGTCCCCGGTTCGAAACCGGGCAGAAACACTCTTCTTTGCTCTTTACTCTGAGTATTGGAATCAAACTATATTCAATATCAAACACAAACTGTACTCAATCAGATGATTAGACAGATGCAAAAAAAGCAAACTTAAGGGAACCGTACCAGGGCTCCAGACTAACCTTTTGCATTGGTTGCACTGGAGCGCCTAACTTTTTTTTTTTAGGTGCACCAGCACAAAATGTAGTCACCTTTTTATTGCTCTCCATAACTTTCATATAATGTGAATGATTTTTAAACAAGAATAAGGTGTAGAGAAATGCTTTATTTGAAGCACAATTATATATAAAAAGAAAAATAAAGTGTTTAAAGTGCTTCACTGAGCTGAAATTTAAACTAAATTTCAAACTAAAACACTAAGCAAAATAAAATATTTCCAAATAAACGTTCAATACGAAACGTTGTTGACCTGCTCACGAATGCACTATTTCCGGCCATATTCTGACCGCACTCCTGACAGTACACGCAGTGCATTGCGTTACGTCTTTTGTTGTACCTCAGCCAGGAAAATTGTTTCAGCGAGTCCTGTCTGAAGGAATATATTTTGGCCGTTTTAATTTGGGTCTCGGAGCCGGGCTCTATTCCAGACTCGGTTGTCTTCTCCTCTGGTTCCGAGTCTGATGCTGTCGCCGAAGGACCGGGACTTGGCAATTTTTAAACACACGCAATTTAGCGTGGTGAACAGGACCACAGCCAATCAGAGGCAAAGACCCGCCCGAGCTCTGTCTCTTATTGGTTTAGATCGCGATATGATCCTACCATGAGTGTGTGAGTTCAGTCACAGGACAACACAGAGAGATGATGCGCTTGCGAAATAAATTTATGTTTTCACCCGGGCAGCGTCAGGTGAACCAGTGCGACCTAGAAAAATTATTAGTCGCACTCTTAAAAATTTTGGTCGCATGGACTCTGGAGCCCTGAACCATACCCTCAGCTTGATGCAAGCACACACTTGATGTAGCTGTGGTTCTTTACTTTTTTTTCTGTGAAAGATCGGCAAGCGGCAGAAAATAAAAGTCTCCCCGTCGGGGAATCGAACCCCGGTCTTCCGCGTGACAGGCGGAGATACTGTCCACTATACTAACGAGGACTGGTGCATTATGGGATTTGGCATGTCGACGCGCTGGTGGCCGTGTCCTCGGCGTTTGCAGGCCGTAAGCGAAAAGGACGGAGACACGTTTTTGCTGTCGTTCAGCTAGCGTTCTCAGCTCTCACTTGAGGTCCTGGGGGATGATGTTTCCCAGGAGGGAGGCGGGAGGGCTCTGTGCTGTCGACTGGGGAGACACACAGGGTAATGGGGTTGCGCTCTTTCTGAAATCCCCAACCATCTCCACTGTCTTCTGAGCGTGGAGCTCCAAGTTGTTCTGTCCGCACCAGGTCACCAGATGGTCAAGCTCCGACCTGTAGGCGTCCTCATCCCAACCACCGATGAGCCCAATGAGGGTGGTGTCATCCGCAAACTTCAGACAATTGACGGATTGATGACTGGAGGTGGCAGCTGTTGGTGTACTGGCAGAGGACAGAGGAGCGGAGCGGTAAGGACGCAACCTCGAGGAAAAGCGTTACCGATGGATGGAGTCTCAGAGGATGCTGTAAGAACTGCCGCTTTGTCTTTCAAATGCACAGCAGAACTTGTTCAGGTCGTTGGCCTTGCGCAAGTCGTTAGCGGGTTTGTGGGTTTTAGGTTTGCACTTGGTTTGAGACCTCTCCAGACATGTTCTCCTCTGCTCACAGAGACAGCACGTTGGGCTGTCATGGAACATAAACACAGACCAGCACAAAGGACACAAACTCATGGGGGAAGTAGATAGCTTCGATCCAGCCACTTCAGCAAACAGTGATGGGTTGCTGCTATTGATGGGTAGGAATTCTTAACAAAAAACGCATCCTTACCCTGTAAAATGAACAGGTTTTTAGTTCAGTGTACAGTTACTTTTTGCTGCCCACGTGCACAGGCCAGTGCCGCCAGTGGTCTCCTTAGTTTAGTGGTCATCACGTTCGCCTAACACAGCATTTACTTTCACTCAAATCTATGTAATGGGAACTCTTAGCTGAATCCAGGTTAAAATGTCTCATCCCATCTCTCCAGGTCAAAAATGAACATGAAAGCTTGCATTTGTACAGGCTGGTGCATCTGCGCGTGTAATACCTAAACTTTACCACCAGATGTCAATGTACACAACAGAATCAGCCACCATTTTAACTAATATATAGGCCTTTAAGTCAGCCAAATGATTCTGTGGGAGCTGAGAAAAAGAGTTTTCAAATGTTTACATGTTATCTTACACAATGCAGCAGTGTTGACATGTCCTTGTCATTTCCAGAGTGGCTCTTTACAGATGTTGTTCCGAGAGGGAGACCTTTAAACAGAATCCGTTTATTTTGCCTGTGCTTGTGAGCAGATTTTGGTTTCCATCTTGCGTTTGTGTATTCAGTTCATTCACATATAGCAAAATGTTGACAATGCTTGGTTTGCAATGCTTGCATAGCAAACCATTCGTCACTAGCAAGCAGCTTTGGGTCGTCACCCTGCTCATCAGTTGAAAGGTTTTCAGTTCCATTCAAACTCAATTTAGTCTCAAACAGTGTTCTTAAACGTGAGTCTGCTAGACCGTTTAATCTGTGAAACAGGAACTTTTTGCTGAATCCAGTTTAAAATGTCTCATCCCATCTCTCCGTGTCACAAACGAGCATGCTGGTTGATCTGTACCCGCGTTTGCCTTAATATTGCCATTGTCAGTTTCTGTAGTGTAGTGGTTATCACGTTTGCCTCACACGCGAAAGGTCCCCGGTTATAACAGTCCTTTGTGACCTGTTCCTCCAGAGAGGAGAGGACCAGAGTGTCGTGGTTTTCATTTCGGCTTGTGTTAATAAAGCTGCGTAATTTTAGATACTTAAACACCTCTTGATGTTTCTTTAGCCTTGGAGTTGAATACAGTGTTTGGATCCAGGAGGTCAAAAGAAGCAGCAGCGCCCTCTGCTGTCTGTAAAGAGAAGTGACAAAGCACCTGGGCTGTTTCCAGCTGGTTCACTGGTGAAGCTCAGTGGTGACTTCTTTCCTTCCTTTTTAATCAACTTTATTAAATTTTACAAATATATTACACGTTACATAGACATTTTAACAATAAAGTGCATCAGTGAACATTGATAAAGTGCATCAGTGAACATTGATAAAGTGCATCAGTGAACATTGATAAAGTGCATACAGTCTGAGAGTCTGAGGGAGTTCAATGTCTATAAAGTTCTGTATTATAAGTCCAGAATGTTCCATGGGAGGCGCTGACTTTTGTCCCCAGTCTATGTGTAAATGTTGATATTGAGTGATAAAATCTCCATATATTAACTTACAATATGGAGCAGTCCTTTTTTTCCTCTTCTTTTTCTCCACATTAAAATGTCTCCTATCCAGAGAGCATTCCTGCTGATGGCTGCAGATACATTTTTAACTAAAGTGATTTTTAATTTGTCACCAAGCTCTACTGAACCTAAACCTCCATATTCTTTGCTTCTATACAACAGTTCTCTTTTAGTGACCTCTCGGGTTGTTCCCAGATTAAATTCACACACTGTTTGTTGAGTTGGATTATTGTTTTGTTGGTCCGAAGAAAGATGTTTGCTAGGGAAAGGAGTTTGGATAGGATGAAGGTTTTGACAATATTTACTCTAGATTTTTAATAAGAATTTTTATTTTCCCATTTTTTTTTACGTCTTCTTTATTTCACACAGTTTGTTTTCCCAGTTTCTGTCACTACATTCACTGTTGCAAATGTTCAGACAGAGTATTTGAATTTCCTTTTTAACTTCAATTATTTTCCATTTTCCAGGCAGCAGAATTTGAATATTTAGTCAACAGCAAAGCTGTGAGTATTATGGAGGTACAGAAAACTGGTGTTTCTGTTATTTAGCCTACAGTCTGACATAAATGGGGTGGACAAAATAATAGAAACATCTGTCAGTATAACACAATTCAACAGCAGCACAAACCGCAGCCTCCAAAATGATCACACAGTTGAATAAACACCTCTCTAAAAAAACATTATAACCTTTATGAAGGGAGGATTTATTAAAGAACTGCATTCGTTTTAGGTGTACTTAATAAACTAGTAAATGACTGTATGACTGTTTTGTCAAACCCTTTTACAGTCAGCTCCAGCAGTACATCAGATTATTGTAAAAACCTTAAAAATACCTCAGTGATAGGGAGTTGTTCTGAACCATGATTTAGTGTCTGCTTTGTTGAACTTTTAATGATTTTTGTAAACTTATATTGTCTTTGGACATTCTGCCTAATGCCTTGCTCAAAATAAAGAGGAATTATGGTAAAAATGTTGATTTGAGTATGCACAGTATGTCAGCTCCCAGTTGTTTCCTCTAGTGTAGCAGCAGCAGCAGCACCCTCTGCTGTCTGTACAGAGAAATGTAAAAGCTTACAGCACCTGGTATTCCCAGGCGGTCTCCCATCCAAGTACTAACCAGGCCCGACCCTGCTTAGCTTCCGAGATCGGACGAGATCGGGCGTGTTCAGGGTGGTATGGCCGTAAGCGAAAACTGCTTTCTCAAAGAGGCTATTTAAAGGTGCTGTGATATGATGTAGTCATATATTTTTAAATGTAGATTGTTTCAAAACAATACAAATAATTTTACAATGATATAAAATATCCATTATAACACACAGTGCATCTCCCTGTTATTGTTACATTATTCTATATCATATTAAAGCATTTATCAATACTGATGTATTACTGTGGAAGCAGTATTTTCATTTTGTAGCTGCTTTAATTACTTTATAAACTGTTGAGTAGTTTAATCTGGTTTCCCATTCATTCTCTATGGTAGTGCTAAACCACTACGGGTGTAATGCGCACTCCGGCCACTGCCGCCTTTGGCGCTGTAACCGCCTAAAACTCCGTCTCGCCTCCTCGACTGTGTCAGTGAACAGAGAAGAGGAGAGATGAAGTCGACATCGCCAACTACTCCTGACATTTGGATTTGTTTTCTTCAACTAAGGTCAGTAACTTTTGTGACAAAAACGAGATAAAAGATAGGCTTATATGTACTTTGTGTCTTCTGAGTGTTGTAGGTTGAATGACGACGATGTTTGTACTTTGTCTCTGAGCGGCGCATCAGATTCATTTAAACTACAACGCGGCAAAACTTGCTAACGCCGTAATAAACAGTCGGTTTTTACTTTTGAGTTGGATTTACTTGGATATATGTTGTAAAATATTTCGTTTCATTCATGATATTTTCATTTCAAGTCGCGTTTGTGTTTTCTGGTTCAAATTCAAGCCCAAAAACCACACACACACACACACATACTTAAGTTTGATCTTTCATGTCTTTCTTTTGTCTTATATATCTTATTAATGTTTAATTAAGTAGTTTTCTTACATTCATTTCTGTTTTAATATTTTATATATATCTTATATAGTTAGTCATTTTAAAATGTTACTCGACATCATTGTAAATGGGGACCAGCCCTGAGTGATTTTTAAGGTTTAAATAACTAAAGCTATATATTAAAGGTTTGTATTTAAGCCCATCTGGTGCTCCTACAATTTATTCTAGCTTCTATATATTAAAATCTGGTGCAGAAATTCAGAAAAAGAGTAATTATTTTGTACACTTTGGATCACTTAAGGAAAGACCACACACTTATAGGCTGAAATAATTTAATTGATCTTGTTTTTAATAATAATAATAATAAATTTTATTTGTTGGCGCCTTTCACAACACCCAAGGTCACCTTACAGGTATAAAAAAAACAACTGCAGAAATAAAATACACAGCACAGTAAATATGTATAAAATACATATAAAAAGAAAATACAGTGTAGCTAATAAATGAATGCAGAGAGTAAAACAGTTGGGGGCCAGAGTATTTATAGCAAGTAAGACTTTTTAAAAAGGTGTGTTTTGAGTTGAGACTTGAAAGTGTCAATGGAGTCCAGAGAGCGGATGTGTAGTGGAAGTGAGTTCCAGAGTCTAGGTGCAGAGCAGCTAAAAGCCCGAGCACCCATTGAGGTAAGTGAGAAGGAAGGGGTGGAAAGCAGGATGGTAGATGAGGAACGGAGTGAACGGGATGGGATATATGGCTGTAGCATACTGGAGAGATATGGTGGGGGGGCTGGTTATGGAGAGCTTTGAATGTTAACAGTAGGAGTTTGTATTGTATCCGTTGTTGGACAGGGAGCCAGTGGAGGTGAATGAGCACTGGTGTGATGTGATCCGAGGACTTGGTACGTGTTATGATTCTGGCAGCGGTGTTCTGGATGGTTTGTAGACGGTGGATGAGTTTTTGTGGTAGACCAGTGAGGAGGGAGTTACAATAGTCAAGGCAAGAAGTGACCAGGGCATTTATGAGGACTTCAGTGGAGTGCTGGGTGAGGGAGGGGCGAAGTCTGGAGATGTTGCGGAGATGGAAAAAGGATGTACGTGAGATGTTGTTGATGTGGGATGTGAGTGAGAGAGTACTGTCCAAGATGACGCCAAGACTTTTAACTTCGGTTGAAGTGGGGACCGATGAGAATACTGAGGGGATGGGATTTTGAGAGTGATGATTTGGATCCGATGAAAAGAACTTCACTTTTACTGCCATTGAGTTTGAGCTTGTTGTTTGACATCCAGTTTGTAATAGTTTCCAGGCAGTCCGTGAGGGCAGTAGGGGGCGAAGCAGTGTCTGGTTTGGTGGTGATGTAGATTTGGGTGTCGTCTGCATAACAGTGGAAGTGAATACCAAAATGATGGAAAATATTGCCGAGAGGGAGGATATAGATGATGAAAAGTAGGGGACCCAGAACAGAACCTTGTGGAACACAGTGAGTGAGTGGTGAGGATGGTGATCTGGTATTTTCTCCAGTGCCGGCCAAACGATCTAGGAGGATGGCAAGAGATATTGTGTCGAAGGCGGCGCTGAGGTCTAGGAGTATAAGGATGGTGAGAAGGCCAGAATCCTCTGCTAAAAGAAGGTCATTTGTTATTTGAATGAGAGCTGTTTCTGTACTGTGGTTAGGACAGAAACCAGACTGAAAAGGCTCAAAGAGTTTATTTTTTGATAGATGATCTTGAAGTTGGCAGGCTACTGTACGTTCTATAACTTTTGAGATGAATGATAGGTTTGAAATAGGGCGATAGTTATTGAGTTTGTTTGGGTCCAGGCCAGGTTTCTTTAATATGGGTGTGACTGAAGCAGTTTTGAGCAGGGAGGGAACAGTACCAGTTGACAGGGAGGAGTGAACAATTTGTGTTATGAGAGTGGAGAGTGTAGGGAGACAAGCCTTGACCAGTGTGGTGGAAAGTGGGTGAAATGAAGAGCATATCACCCACCAAATAACTGGCACAGTGTTGTAAGTACATTCTTTCTTCTACTGACTGAACATTCAAAATCAATTTAGTCTCAAACAGTGTTCTTAAACGTGAGTCTGCTAGACCGTTTAATCTGTGAAACAGGAAGTTTTTGCTGAATCCAGTTTAAAATGTCTCATCCCATCTCTCTGTGTCAAAAATCGAACCCATTATCTGGAATTTGAAAAGCTTGCGTTTGATCATGCTGGTTGATCTTTATCGGCGTCTGTGTGAGAATGGACTTTGTCAGTTTCTGTAGTGTAGTGGTTATCACGTTCGCCTCACACGCGAAAGGTCCCCGGTTCGAAACCGGGCAGAAACACTCTTCTTTGCTCTTCACTCTGAGTATTGGAATCAAACTATATTCAATATCGAACACAAACTGTACTCAATCAAATGATTAGACAGATGCAAAAAAAGCAAACTTAAGGTAACCCTACCACGGCTCCAGACTACCTTTTTGCATTGGTTGCACTTGTGCGCCTAACTTTTTTTTTTAGGTGCACCAGCACAAAATGTAGGTGCACCCAAATTTTTCAGTGCGTCGCCTTTAACGCCATAAGGTCACCTTTTTATTGCTCTCCATAACTTTCATATAATGTGAATGATTTTTAAACAAGAATAAGATGTAGAGAAATGCTTTATTTGAAGCACAATTATATATAAAAAGAAAAATAAAGTGTTTAAAGTGCTTCACTGAGCTGAAATTTAAACTAAATTTCAAACTAAAACACTAAGCAAAATAAAACATTTCCAAATAAAAGTTCGATATGAAACGTTGTAGACCCGCTCACGAATGCACTATTTCTGGCCATATTCTGACCGCACTCCTGACAGTACACGCAGTGCATTGCGGAATGGAATCGAACTTTTTGCTGAATCCAGTTTAAAATGTCTCATCCCATCTCTCCGTGTCAAAAACAAAGCCATTGTCTGGAATTTGAAAAGCTTGCGTTTGAGCATGCTGGTTGATCTGTGCGCACATTTGCCTTGATTTTGCCTTTGTCAGTTTCTGTAGTGTAGTGGTTATCACGTTCGCCTCACACGCGAAAGGTCCCCGGTTCGAAACCGGGCAGAAACATCCTTCTTTGCTCTTTAATCTGAGTATTGCAATCAAACTATACGCAATATCAAACACAAACTGTACTCAATCAAATGATCAGACAGATGCAAAAAAAGCTATCTAAAGGTATCCATACCCTAGCTTGCTGCAAGCACGCTTAATGTAGCTGTAGTACTCTACTTTTTTTTTCTGTGAAAGATCAGGAAGCGGTAGAAAGTTAAAGTCTACCCGTCGGGAATCAAACCCCGGTCTTCCGCGTGATAGGCGGAGATACTGTCCACTATACTAACGAGGACGGTTGTCTTCTCCTCTGGTTCCAAGTCTTATCGTGTCGCCGAAGGACCGGGTCTTGGCAATTTTTAAACACACGCAATTTAGCGTGGTGAACAGGACCACAGCCAATCAGAGGCAAAGACCCGCCCGAGCTCTGTCTCTTATTGGTTTAGATCGCGATATGATCCTACCATGAGTGTGTGAGTTCAGTCACAGGACAACACAGAGAGATGATGCGCTTGCGAAATAAATTTATGTTTTCACCCGGGCAGCGTCAGGTGAACCAGTGCGACCTAGAAAAATTATTAGTCGCACTCTTAAAAATTTTGGTCGCATGGACTCTGGAGCCCTGAACCATACCCTCAGCTTGATGCAAGCACACACTTGATGTAGCTGTGGTTCTTTACTTTTTTTTCTGTGAAAGATCGGCAAGCGGCAGAAAATAAAAGTCTCCCCGTCGGGGAATCGAACCCCGGTCTTCCGCGTGACAGGCGGAGATACTGTCCTAACGTACTATACTAACGAGGACGGGTGCATTATGGGATTTGGCATGTCGATGCACTGGTGGCCGTGTCCTCGGCGTTTGCAGGCCGTAAGCGAAAAGGACGGAGACACGTTTTTGCTGTCGTTCAGCTAGCGATCTCAGCTCCCACTTGAGGTCCTGGGGGATGATGTTTCCAAGGAGGGAGGCGGGAGGGCTCCGTGCTGTCAACTGGGGAGACACACAGGGTGATGGGGCTGCACTCTTCCTGAAATCCCCACCCATCTCCACTGTCTTCTGAGCGTGGAGCTCCAAGTTGTTCTGTCCGCACCAGGTCACCAGATGGTTCAAGCTCCCACCTGTGGGCATCCTCATCCCAACCACCGATGAGGTTCCGCAAACTTCATGAAAGGGGATTGATGACTGGAGGTGTCATCTGTTGGTGTACGCAACAAGGAGCGGAGGGTTCAGAGCAACTTGAGGGCGATGATTGATGGAGTCTTGGAGGAGGTGTAAGAACTGCAGCTTTGTTTCAATGACAGTGTACTGGTTCAGTTAGGTACAGAGTGTTAGCGGGTTTGGGGGTTTAGGTTTGCACTTGGTCTAAGACCTCCCAGACATGTTTTTCTGGTCGGGCATTTAAAGCGTGTTTGGGAACTTGATGGATGGATTGTCAAAGTTGAGAGGCGATGACTGTAGAGTCTGGGTTTTAAGGAGAGCTCGCACTGTGCCTCCTGCATGTTGGGCTGTCGTGGAACATAAACACAGACCAGCACAAAGGACACAAACTCATGGGGGAAGTAGATAGCTTCGATCCAGCCACTTCAGCAACCAGTGATGGGTAGGAATTCTTAACAAAAAACACATCCTTACCCTGTAAAATGAACGGGTTTTCTGGCATTAGAAACATTTTCATTTTCCACGTGCACGGGCCAGTGCTGCCAGTGGTCTCCTTAGTTTAGTGGTCATCACGTTAGCCTAACACAGCATTTACTGTCACTATGTTTTACAAATCTACTTTTGGCTGAATCCAGTTTAAAATGTCTCATCCCATCTCTCCCGGTCAAAAACGAACATGAAAGCTTGCATTTGTACAGGCTGGTGCATCTGCGCATGTAATACCTAAACTTCACCACCAGATGTCAATGTACACCACAGAATCAGCCACCATTTTATCTTATATATAGGCCTTTAAGTCAGTCAAATGATTCTGTGGGAGCTGAGAAAAAGAGTTTTTAAATGTTTACGTATTATCTTACACAATGCAGCAGTGTTGACATGTCCTTGTCATTTCCAGAGTGGCTCTTTACAGATGTTGTTCCCAGAGGGAGACCTTTAAACAGAATCTGTTTATTTTGCCTGTGCTTGTGAGCAGATTTTGGTTTCCATCTTGCGTTTGTGTATTCAGTTCATTCACATATAGCAAAATGTTGACAATGTATGCAAGCATTGCAAACCATTCGCCACTAGCAAGCAGCTTTGGGTTGTCACCCTGCTCATCAGTTGAAAGGTTTTCAGTTCCTCCCTCAACTCGTACACATGAGCCAGCACTTTGCTGTCAGCTGTTATTCTGTCGGATTAGAGTCTATGTGTATGAGAATGTGAGAATACATTCAAGATGTTTATTTATGTACGATTTGATGTCCCACTTAGTTCTGTATTTATTTATGCATTTACTGACTCGAACTCTCCCAAAATCAGGTCCCACAAAATCAATTCATCAACAGGGTGTGCAGGACACAAATTCAACATGTCCTCATGCATGAAGTTTAGATATTATTCTGTAGTGGACAAGTGATAACAACAACAGTGATAATAACAACAGTAGCATCAAATGAATTCCATCCAGAAGGAAAGCTTACATATTATACAACAACACTGTCTTGAAAAGGAAAATATGTGAACAACCTTCTCTGTACACTGAAGAAGCAGCAGCCTCTGCTGTTTGCTAAGAGAAATGAAAAAGCTTGAATGTGTAACATTTAGGAGAATCTATTGTCAGAAATGGAATTTTATATTTTTGTATTAGTGTATGATCACCTGACTATAGGAATTGTTGTGTTTTTGTTACCTTAGAATGTGAAATTTGTATTTAGTTGCAATATTTAACTTCACCATTATAATCCTATACACTGGTCCTTTAACTCATGATGGCCTATAGGGCCTATGAGAAATGCTGTTCATTAAAGGCTGCTAAAACAAATAAATTGAATGAACAATATTGGATTAATTCAAAATGATTGTCTTTATCTAAACATTCATAGATCAATAATGTTTGGATGTATTAATATTCTGGAACAGAGCCAGGATAGTTCTGGTTTTACTCTCAGCATGCTACGTGCTCCCATTAAGTTTTTTCATTCAGCTCTGTGGAAGTCACACCTGTTTTGAGTGGGCTTGGCAGGACTTCACACACACACACACACACACACACACACACACACACACACACACACACACACACTTAAGTTCAGATAGATAAGAAATCTGAGGGACCCAGAATACTAACTGACTCTAGCCAATACTAGACCTGGATGCCTACTGTGACATACAAAAGACAACACAGCCATACCCGTAAGCTTGTGTGGGACCCTCCAACTCAAAGGATGTATAAGAGCGAATATTCCTTCAAAAGAGTAACAAATGAGGAGCTAACTGCTTGTGAACCATTAGCCTACTCAGATTTATAGTGTATGTAATGATTAGTTAATAGATAAAGAGACAAGTGCTGAACGAATCGGGAACAACTTGAAAATTGATGAATTGTTAATACGTAGTTCCTCAATCGTTCTTAATGGAGGACTATAGTAGATATTGATCAGTTACTAGAGAACCGACTGGGAGATCCCATATATTAATGAATTATTAGGTAATGATTAGTTCATGTTCATGTTCATATGTGTGAAACGATCATACTTACCACTCTCTTCATCCGAACCAGATCAATAGCACAAAACTAGAAGCAACTCATCATTACTAAGTATTAGTTACTGTATTTGAGGCCCCTAAAAGTAAAGTGGTGCATCATACTGAGTGCTTACGGAGTACTGAATCATTACTTTGTCATTATTTTAGGATTAATGCAAGTGATTCCAATTTCCGCCTGGAAGTACTGCTATAAATGCCATGGAAAATGCAAACTCATCTCTGTCATGGTTTTCTTTTTTCTTTTCTTTTAAAATAGTCAGTCGCAACCTTTGACAAAATGTCATTCTTATTCTACATAAAACTAAAAACTATTCAATTAAATCAATTATTTATAAATGTTCTGATGATTACTGGGTAACATATATGTTGTACAATAAAGGTACATCTTATCTGAACTTAAATGTGTGTGTGTGGCAGTCCTGCCAAGCCCACTCAAATCAGGTGTGACTTCCACAGAACTGATACGAAACTTCACTGGAACACGAAGTGGTTGATATTATAGATGTTGTAATGTTTACAAACCAAATATGCCTGTATTCAAGTTTTTATATATATAACTAAATCATCCTGGGTGGGTGGCTTTGTGTCCTCTCCTTCAACTCCTGTTGTACTTAGGAATTTGTGAATAGAAAATCACTTCACATATGAACAGCCCAAGGGTATTGGGAAACCCCCTACCTCAATCAGCATAAGTGAAAACAATAATAAACTTTGGAAAAGAAAGTACATGTTTTGCCCTGATGTGTCAACCTTGTTAAGTCGCCCATTGTATTGCATTCTGTCTAAATACAAAAATAAAAAAATAAAAAATAAATAACCATCCAACCAGCAGATAAATGGAGGGTAACTGTCATTATACAGCAGGATATGAAACAAAAGTCATGTCAAGTTTATTAATAAAGCTCAATATCACACATCACAAAACTGTCTCGAGGAGCTTTACAGTCTGTACAGCATGTGTCATCTTATATCCTTAGACCCCTTCAGATAAGGAAGAACTCCACAAAAGCTTGGGCTGCTCGATTATGGAAAAAATCATAATCACGATTATTTGGGTCAAAATTGAAATCACGATTATTCAAACGATTATTTTTTTAAACTTCAGAAACTTGCTGCATTTATTGGACATTTGTCAAAAACACTTTGCAAGGAAGTCCTCAGTTACACTTTCCTTTCCCCATAAACATTTGTAAGTCTCCGGTTACCTGTTCAAACGAAAACAACATGACAGGAGAGGACGGCAACTAGTGTCGCGACCACCGGCGCAAGTATAAATAGTTACGGCGCTCCCGTGACTTCACATTGTAGCACGACAGGTCGGGAACGGCGAGTATACCGAGCGCATGACGTGCAGTGCTTGCCGCGGGGGAGGGACTGAAAATACACATGCGCGAAATACGCAGACTGTGGCTGTGTCCCATCGTTTCCCTACGATTTTATTAGTTTTGAGATCGTTTGGCCCCGAAATCGTAATCATGATCAAATTTCGATTAATTGAGCAGCCTTAACAAAAACCTGAGGGAAACAATAGCAGAAACCTCATGAAGAGCAACAGAGGAGGATCCCTTTTCCAGGACAGACACACATGCATAGATGTTGTTTGTCCAGAATAAACCAAGACAGTAAAATTACAGTATGGACACTTATTGGACACAATTATAGATAGACTGTAAACATATATGAAGCATATGGATCTTGGATATTCTCATTTGCAGGACAGACATTAGTACCAGACTTTCAGATGAAGCATAAATTCTTGATAAACTCAAGTAGGATCCTACACAACAATACAAGGATAAGTTAGCTGCGATTCTAAAACAGTGGATGGAGAAAGACATCTCCCACAACCTCCAAAGGAAACTGTACCCGACAATGAAAAGCATGCATCTCAGACTGTGACACACAGTGATTGGACAGGTGTGTGGAGATGAGAAAGTCAGCAAGATTTGAACTTCTATATGAAGCTCTCTTTATCATTCTCAGTCATGGGCGTAATATTTACATACCGGGCGTGGGCCAAGATAGTGATTGTGAAATTGATAAAAGGTAGTTTTGGTCTTTATTCTTCTGGATTGATAAAAGATTAACAAACCAGTTTCTTTGGAAAATGACTCCTCAGTAATGATTACTCCATTTAGTGTTTGCACATTGAACCACAGCATCTCTATTCTCTATATAAAGGCAGCTGACTGTTGGTAAGTACAACAGAATTCAGCAGATCAGTTGAATTCTTACTGCCGAAGCTTCACTGTCAGTAGACATGTAAGTGTTCAAAAATGTATTATTTTATTGCTGTGGACGAAAAAAAAATTCTATTTCAGATCTTAATGAATACATTCATTGTAAATTGTTTAAATGGGTGCATTCAGCATTCACATTCTGAATATGATTTATTTTTGATGTCATTATAGTGATCCACATTTGATTATATTATATTGAAGCTTCCTTGAAATGTCACAGTCATGCTTCTAATTTAATTTTGTTCACTCATAATCTTCTTTCCTGTCTGCAGTTACCCACAATGGCCAAATACATCACACACCTTGAACTGTCCCTTGATGCAGCTGAAGAGCCAACGTTCCGATCAAAAGGCTTCCAGAAAAACAATGTCGATCTGAACAATGGGGCAGGAGGAAAGTCCATCCATCTCTGGTACAAAAAAGAAAGTGGCGCAGAGCCAATCACCAGGATTCAATGCGCATTCAACAGGAAGATGGAAGATGGATTGATCGATGCGGGGTACCAAAAGGTCGTCAACTGGTTCATCCTTTGGTACTTCCAAGGGCAAACAGAGTACGACATTCCCATAGTGGACATTGATGTCACTACAGATGATGACAGTGCGGCCAGGAAGTTTACCCTTGGCTGGGAGAGACTGTCCTTAGACCTGGGATTATTTGGAACCAGGTTCCACTTCTGGCTGAAGAGAGAGAAACCAACATACATCTGTGATGTCTCTGCCACTGAAACCAACACATCAGACGGAAGGTACTTCAAGGAAGGTTTCATCCGCATCGATGACGACATCAACAAGTCTGCAGGAGGATCAGATGTCTTCACCTGGTACCGTCAGACCACCGACCCCCAGCGCGCCCTCAGTGATCTGAACGTCTCCACCAATGATCTTGAGTATCAGGTCCTTCAGCGGCAGAATTACCACCGAGTGAGTGTGAACCTCAACGAGGGGACCGGCGGTAACCAGGTGTACCTGTGGTACAAGAAACAGGCAGGCAATGATCGCATTAAGGGCCTTCTTCTCATACCAGATGTTGTTGAAGGTTATCGTAAGGCTGGTGTCAATGTTATTGAAAGAAATCTCAACGCAGGCAACAAAGGCCCCACTGAGTACCTGTGTGTTTATCAGTGAAAGCCTGAGAAAGCCTTCTTCATGTTAACAGAGCTGAGAATCATCAACACTAGTGGAAAGCTCAGTCCAACAATGCTGTTAAATCATTTTGGTGATTGTTTCTTCTAACTGTTTTTTTGCTTTTTTCAACCTTGCTGTCAATTAAATCAATCAAAGTATTTCAAATGTCAATTTTTAAACAATGATGATAAATGAATTGTGGAGTTTGCTGCTTTTCAATAAAGACACATTTACATCTTAAGTTTGTGTTTTTTCAGAAACAAAAGAAGCTTTACTTTGAGTATTTTAATAATTTTATTCAATCACTGTTATAATGCTAAAAAAAACAGGGCCAATATTTATTTCTTATGACGTAAAAGTACTCTTAAACACAGCTCAGGAAGTCTCTCAAGTTGGTCAAGAGTAGAAGCCTCTTGTGGAATATCATTGTTGGCACAGAAAAGCACAATATCTCTCAATATGTAAGTTATATTCTCTAATAACATACATGATGCCATTTCATTTACCCATTCTTTGATACAGTAAAGAGCAGTAAGCCGTTTGTCTTGCAAGATACACATATCTGCAAGTGTATATTCCTTCTTCCTTAGTTTTGAGTTAGATGGGTACAAACTCACAATGTAGATCTTAGGATCAAGAGGGAGCTCTACCGAAGTGTTCCTGTCCTTCACACGTTTTACTTCTTTCTGAAAATCCATTATTTTACTGCATTCCCAAATACAAGGATACAGGGTTCCTTTATGTTCGCTGCACTTAGTACATGTGTCTGGTATATTGTTGTCAAAGCGATGTCATTTTACTGGTGTTACATATATACACATTAACCAATTATATTGCAATAGTATTAGACGGCTATTTACGGATAGTTTCTGTGCATCTTCACAAACCGTGTTCCAATCCTCCACCGTTATTTCCTCATTCAAATCTTTCCTCCGTGCTTCTAACTTTCCCTCTGAGGACACTTGGGAAACAGAAATTAAGAAATCATAGAAAAAGCAAATCAAGCCTTTGTTATAACAGTCCTTTGTGACCTGTTCCTCCAGAGAGGAGAGGACCAGAGTGTCGTGGTTTTCATTTCGGCTTGTGTAAATAAAGCTGCATAAGTTTAGATACTTAAACACCTCTTGATGTTTCTTTAGCCTTGGAGTTGAATACAGTGTTTGGATCCAGGAGGTCAAAAGAAGCAGCAGCGCCCTCTGCTGTCTGTAAAGAGAAGTGACAAAGCACCTGGGCTGTTTCCAGCTGGTTCACTGGTGAAGCTCAGTGGTGACTTCTCTCCTTCCTTTTTAATCAACTTTATTACATTTTACAAATATATTACACGTTACATAGACATTTTAACAATAAAGTGCGTCAGTGAACATTGATAAAGTGCATACAGTCTGAGAGTCTGAGGGAGTTCAATGTCTATAAAGTTCTGTATTATAAGTCCAGAATGTTCCATAGGAGGCGCTGACTTTTGTCCCCAGTCTATGTGTAAATGTTGATATTGAGTGATAAAATCTCCATATATTAACTTACAATATGGAGCAGTCCTTTTTTTCCTCTTCTTTTTCTCCACATTAAAATGTCTCCTATCCAGAGAGCATTCCTGCTGATGGCTGCAGATACATTTTTAACTAAAGTGATTTTTAATTTGTCACCAAGCTCTACTGAACCTAAACCTCCATATTCTTTGCTTCTATACAACAGTTCTCTTTTAGTGACCTCTCGGGTTGTTCCCAGATTAAATTCACACACTGTTTGTTGAGTTGGATTATTGTTTTGTTGGTCCGAGGAAAGATGTTTGCTAGGGAAAGGAGTTTGGATAGGATGAAGGTTTTGACAATATTTACTCTAGATTTTTAATAAGAATTTTTATTTTCCCATTTTTTTTTGTTACGTCTTCTTTATTTCACACAGTTTGTTTTCCCAGTTTCTGTCACTACATTCACTGTTGCAAATGTTCAGAGTATTTGAATTTTTACAGTCAGCTCCAGCAGTACATCAGATTATTGTAAAAACCTTAAAAATACCTCAGTGATAGGGAGTTGTTCTGAACCATGATTTACTGTCTGCTTTGTTGAACTTTTAATGACTTTTGTAAACTTATATTGTCTTTGGACATTCTGCCTAATGCCTTGCTCAAAATAAAGAGGAATTATGGTAAAAATGTTGATTTGAGTATGCACAGTATGTCAGCTCCCAGTTGTTTCCTCTAGTGTAGCAGCAGCAGCAGCACCCTCTGCTGTCTGTACAGAGAAATGTAAAAGCTTACAGCACCTGGTATTCCCAGGCGGTCTCCCATCCAAGTACTAACCAGGCCCGACCCTGCTTAGCTTCCGAGATCGGACGAGATCGGGCGTGTTCAGGGTGGTATGGCCGTAAGCGAAAACTACTTTCTCAAAGAGGCTATTTAAAGGTGCTGTGATATGATGTAGTCTTATATTTTTAAATGTAGATTGTTTCAAAACAAGACAAATAATTTTACAATGATATAAAATATCCATTATAACACACAGTGCATCTCCCTGTTATTGTTACATTATTCTATATCATATTAAAGCATTTATCAATACTGATGTATTACCGTGGAAGCAGTATTTTCATTTTGTAGCTTCTGGAGGACAAACTGCTTTAATTACTTTATATACTGTTGAGTCGTTTAATCTGGAAGATATCACATAAATGTAGTGGAGTAGAAAATACAAAGATTGAAGTACAAGTACCTCAAAATTATAGCCTACTTAAGTACAATGATTGATTAAATGTACTACTATACTCAGTTGTATTGCTTCTTACCCAGAATTTATAGAAACATGCTGATGTTTGTATTTATGTAAATGAACACAGATGTTCATCATCATCTTTAAAGAGGCTTTTGTTTACTTCTTACAGTTGCTTACGCCCTTAGATAAACGCCCCTAAACCGTTTCCCATTCATTCTCTATGGTAGTGCTAAACCACTACGGGTGTAATGTGCACTCCGGCCACTGCCGCCTTTGGCGCTGTAACCGCCTAAAACTCCGTCTCGCCTCCTCGACTGTGTCAGTGAACAGAGAAGAGGAGAGATGAAGTCGACATCGCCAACTACTCCTGACATTTGGATTTGTTTTCTTCAACTAAGGTCAGTAACTTTTGTGACAAAAACGAGATAAAAGATAGGCTTGTATGTACTTTGTGTCTTCTGAGTGTTGTAGGTTGAATGACGACGATGTTTGTACTTTACTTAAGTTTGATCTTTCATGTCTTTCTTTTGTCTTATATATCTTATTAATGTTTAATTAAGTAGTTTTCTTACATTCATTTCTGTTTTAATATTTTATATAGTTAGTCATTTTAAAATGTTACTCGACATCATTGTAAATGGGGACCAGCCCTGAGTGATTTTTAAGGTTTAAATAACTAAAGCTATATATTAAAGGTATATATTTAAGCCCATCTGGTGCTCCTACAATTTATTCTAGCTTCTATATATTAAAATCTGGTGCAGAAATTCAGAAAAAGAGTAATTATTTTGTACACTTTGGATCACTTGAGGAAAGACCACACACTTATAAGCTGAAATAATTTAATTGATCTTGTTTTAACTGTTCTCAAAGGTCAACAGGTTCCCCATTATGTTTAAGAAGATGTACATGTTTAATATTGCCATCAACAGTTACCAGTGGCTCTCCAAGTTCAGGGACTTCTGTCAATGTAAACTTAGATATATATTTAGACTGTTTTTCTGCTATCGATCTTCATCAATTAACTTCAATAATTTCTTCATCGAAGCCATCAACCTGTCTATTAGACCCGATCCCAACTAGGCTGCTTAAAGAAGTTGTTCCCTTAATTGGCACTTCTTTACTGGATATGATTAATCTTTCTTTATTATCAGGATATGTACCACAGTCCTTTAAAGTAGCTATAATTAAACCCCTTCTTAAAAAGTCCACTCTTGACCCAGGGGTTTTAGCCAACTATAGACCGATTTCTAACCTCCCCTTCCTCTCTAAGATTCTGGAGAAAGTAGTCGCCAAAGAGTTGTGTGACTTTCTACATAACAATAGTTTATTTGAGGATTTTCAGTCAGGATTTAGAGTTCATCATAGCACAGAGACAGCTCTGGTTAAAGTTAATAATGACCTTCTGACTGCTTCTGACAATGGACTTGTCTCTGTACTTGTATTATTAGATCTTAGTGCTGCATTTGACACCATTGACCATAATATTCTTTTAGAGAGACTTGAGCATCAAATTTGCATTAAAGGAACCGCACTAAGCTGGTTTAAGTCATATTTATCAGATCGCTCGCAGTTTGTACATGTTAACGATGAATCTTCAATAAATACTACAGTTAGTCATGGAGTTCCACAAGGTTCTGTACTTGGACCAATACTATTTACTTTATATATGCTCCCTTTAGGCAACATTATTAGAAATCACTCCATTAACTTTCACTGTTATGCAGATGATACGCAGTTATATCTATCAATCAAACCCAATGAAATTAATCAATTATCTAAATTACAAACTTGTCTTAAGGACATAAAATCCTGGATGACCTGCAATTTTCTGATGTTAAACCGAAATTCTTGTTCTTGGCCCCAAAAACCTTAGAGACTCACTGTCTAAAGATATAGTTACTCTAGATGGCATTACCTTGGCCTCTAGCACCACTGTCAGGAATCTTGGAGTTATCTTTGATCAGGATTTGTCATTTAACTCCCACATAAAGCAGACCTCCAGGACCGCCTTCTTTCATTTACGTAATATTAGAAAAATTAGACACATCCTATCACAGACAGATGCAGAAAAACTAATCCATGCATTTGTTACTTCAAGGCTGGATTACTGCAACTCTTTATTATCAGGTTGCCCCAATAAGTCCATTAAAACGCTCCAATTAATTCAGAACGCTGCAGCACGAGTACTGACAGGAACTAGAAAAAGAGATCACATCTCTCCTGTACTAGCTTCTCTGCATTGGCTCCCTGTAAAATGTAGAATTGAATTTAAAATCCTCCTCCTCACCTATAAAGCTCTTCATGGTCAGGCCCCTTCATATCTTAAAGAGCTCATAGTATACTATTACCCCACTAGAACACTACGTTCTCTGAATGCTGAGTTACTTGTGGTTCCTATAGTCTCTAAAAGTAGAACAGGAGCCAGAGCCTTCAGTTACCAAGCTCCTCTCCTGTGGAACCAGCTTCCATTTGTGGTTCGGGAGGCAGACACCCTCACCACATTCAAGAGTAGGCTTAAGACATTCCTCTTTGATAAAGCTTATAGTTAGGGCTGGATCAGGTGAGTCCTGAACCATCCCTTAGTTATGCTGCTATAGGCCTAGACTATCGGGGGATTTCCCATGGTGCACTGAGCTCCTCCCTTCCTCTCTCTTTCTGCACTCATTCATGTTCCATTTATGCATGTTACTAACTTCACTTCTTCCCCGGAGTTCTTGTGCTTTCTCGTCTCGCAGGTTCTTGTCGATCCTGGTGGAGCCTCCTGCCATGGTCCTGCTAGATTGCCGTTGCCAATACTGTTGTTGCTATGCACCTGTCTGTCTGTCTGTCTCTCGCTCTCTCTCTCTCTGCCTCTCTCTCTCTCTCTCTCTCTCTCTCTTTCTCTCTCTCTCTCACCCCAACTGGTCGAGACAGACGACCACCCACCTAGAGCCGGAGGATCTGTCCTAGGTTTCTGCCTTTTAACAGGCAGTTTTTCCTTGCCCTTGTCGCCAAGTGCTTGCTCATGGTGGTACTGTTGGGTCTCTGTAATTAATGCTAAAGAGTTCGGTCTAGACCTGCTCTATTTGAAAAGTGTCCTGAGATAACTTCTGTTATGAATTGGCGCTATACAAATAAAATTGAATTGAATTGAATTGAATTAATATATAAATGTTTTTCCACATATGTCACAGGCCAGCATGGAAAAACCATTCAGTTTCTTTCCTGGGAGGATGAAAGTTTTTTTCCGCAAGTGACCTCGAGGTTATCTGTGTCAGGATCCAACTGATGCAGCTAAGCTTTTCAAGGACAACCCTTCTCTGCAGGACAATTCTGAACCTCTAAAGGAGGACACAGTTAAACAAAATGCCCTGACTGTGGTCCGTCACAGAGGAGGGGGTGCCACAGACAAGACAGAGGTGCTGGGGGATTACATCTTGCAGTTTGGCAAATACAAGGGGAAATCCTTTAGTTGGCTGTTGGAAAATGATGTAGGCTATACATATAACTGTCGACCCGAGAGCACCTGGAGGGAGGTGTGGGACAGGAGGGCTGATGGGTACGCAGTCTACATCATGAGAACTAAGTGTTTTCCATGGACTCAGATGTACAGACTGCAGCAGTACCTGAAAAGGAAACAGTCGGCCTCTGTCTGCTCTCCACCAGTTCTTGTCTCAAGTGCACCAGTAGGTTTTTTTTAATACTTATATTCATTTATATCGAAATACAACTCGTGTAACATATGCTTTACCAAAATAATGTATGCCTAATTTTTTTACAGCACAAATTCAAATTCTTTATGTTTGTGTCACAGTGATGGATGATGATGAGGAGCTGGAGAGAGCAAGAAGAGCATATCACCCACCAAATAACTGGCACAGTGTTGTAAGTACATTCTTTCTTCTACTGACTGAACATTCAAAATCAATTTAGTCTCAAACAGTGTTCTTAAACGTGAGTCTGCTAGACCGTTTAATCTGTGAAACAGGAAGTTTTTGCTGAATCCAGTTTAAAATGTCTCATCCCATCTCTCTGTGTCAAAAACGAACCCATTATCTGGAATTTGAAAAGCTTGCATTTGATCATGCTGGTTGATCTGTATGGGCGTCTGTGTGAGAATAGCCTTTGTTAGTTTCTGTAGTGTAGTGGTTATCACGTTCGCCTCACACGCGAAAGGTCCCCGGTTCGAAACCGGGCAGAAACACTCTTCTTTGCTCTTTACTCTGAGTATTGGAATGAAACTATGCTCAATATCGAACACAAACTGTACTCAATCAAATGATTAGACAGGTGCAAAAAAAGCAAACTTAAGGTAACCCTACCAGGGCTCCAGACTACCTTTTTGCATTGGTTGCACTGGTGCGCCTAACTTTTTTTTTTTTTAGGTGCACCAGCACAAAATGTAGGTGCACCCAAATTTTTCAGTGCGTCGCCTTTAACGCCATAAGGTCACCTTTTTATTGCTCTCCATAACTTTCATATGATGTGAATGATTTTTAAACAAGAATAAGGTGTAGAGAAATGCTTTATTTGAAGCACAATTATATATAAAAAGAAAAATAAAGTTTTTAAAGTGCTTCAATGAGCTGAAATTTAAACTAAATTTCAAACTAAAACACTAAGCAAAATAAAACATTTCCAAATAAAAGTTCGATATGAAACGTTGTAGACCTGCTCACGAATGCACTATTTCCGGCCATATTCTGACCGCACTCCTGACAGTACACGCAGTGCATTGCGGAATGGAATCGAACTTTTTGCTGAATCCAGTTTAAAATGTCTCATCCCATCTCTCCGTGTCAAAAACAAAGCCATTGTCTGGAATTTGAAAAGCTTGCGTTTGAGCATGCTGGTTGATATGTATCCACGTTTGCCTTGAGTTTGCCTTTGTCAGTTTCTGTAGTGTAGTGGTTATCACGTTCGCCTCACACGCGAAAGGTCCCTGGTTCGAAACCGGGCAGAAACATCCTTCTTTGCTCTTTAATCTGAGTATTGGAACCAAACTATACGCAATATCAAACACAAACTGTACTCAATCAAATGATCAGACAGATGCAAAAAAAAAGCTAACTTAAGGTATCCATACCTTCAGCTTGCTGCAAGCACACACTTGATGTAGCTGTGGTACTTTACTTTTTTTTTCTGTTAAAGATCAGGAAGCGGTAGAAAGTTAAAGACTCCCCGTCGGGGAATCGAACCCCCATCACCGCGTGACAGGCGGAGATACTGTCCACTATACTAACGAGGACTGGTGCATTATGGGATTTGGCATGTCGATATAGTGGTGGCCGTGTCCTCGGCGTTTGCAGGCTGTAAGCTGAAAGGAAGGAGACATGTTTTTGCTGTCGTTCAGCTAGCGTTCTCAGCTCTCACTTGAGGTCCTGTGGGATGATGGTGCCCAGGAGGGAAGCGGGAGGGTTCCGCGCTGTCGACTGGGGAGACACACAGGGTGATGGGGCTGCGCTCTTCCTGAAATCCCCAACCATCTCCACTGTCTTCTGAGTGTGGAGCTCCAAGTTGTTCTGTCCGCACCAGGTCACCAGATGCTCAAGCTCCCACCTGTGACGTCCTCATCCCAACCACCGATGAGCCCAATGAGGGTGACTCTTTACAGATGTTGTTCACAGAGGGAGACCTTTAAACAGAATCTGTTTATTTTGCCTGTGCTTGTGAGCAGATTTTGGTTTCCATCTTGCGTTTGTGTATTCAGTTCATTCACATATAGGAAAATGTTGACAATGTATGCAAGCATTGCAAACCATTCATCACTAGCAAGCAGCTTTGGCTCATCACACTGCTCATCAGTTGAAAGGTTTTCAGTTCCTCCCTCAACTCGTACACGTGAGCCAGCACTTTGCTGTCAGTTGTTATTCTGTCGGATTAGAGTCTATGTGTATGAGAATGTGAGAATACATTCAAGATGTATTTACGTACGATTTGATGTCCCACTTAGTTCTGTATTTATTTATGCATTTACTGACTCGAACTCTCCCAAAATCAGGTCCCACGAAATCAATTCATCAACAGGGTGTGCAGGACACAAATTCAACATGTCCTCATACATGAAGTTTAGATATCATCCTGTAATGGACAAGTGATAACAACAACAATGATAATAACAATAGTAGTATCAAATGAATTCCATCTAGACGGAAAGGTTACATATTATACAACAACACTGTCTTGAAAAGGAAAATATGTGAACAACCTTCTGTGTACACTGAAGAAGCAGCAGCCTCTGCTGTTTGCTAAGAGAAATGAAAAAGCTTGAATGTGTAACATTTAGGAGAATCTATTGTCAGAAATGGAATTTTATATGTTTGTATTAGTGTATGATCACCTGACTATAGGAATTGTTGTGTTTTCGTTACCTTAGAATGTGAAATTTGTATTTAGTTGCAATATTTAACTTCACCATTATAATCCTATACACTGGTCCTTTAACTCATGATGGCCTATAGGGCTTATGAGAAATGCTGTTCATTAAAGGCTAAGCTAAAACAAAGAAATTGAATGAACAATATTGGATTAATTCAAAATGATTGTCTTTATCTAAACATTCATAGATCAATAATGTTTGGATGTATTAATATTCTGGAACAGAGCCAGGATAGTTCTGGTTTTACTCTCAGCATGCTACGTGCTCCCATTAAGTTTTTTTATTCAGCTTTGTGGAAGTCACACCTGTTTTGAGTGGGCTTGGCAGGACTTCACACACACACACACACACACACACACACACACACTTAAGTTCAGATAGATAAGAAATCTGAGGGACCCAGAATACTAACTGACTCTAGCCAATACTAGACCTGGATGCCTACTGTGACATACAAAAGACAACACAGTCATACCCGTAAGCTTGTGTGGGACCCTCCAACTCAAAGGATGTATAAGAGCGAATATTCCTTCAAAAGAGTAACAAATGAGGAGCTAACTGCTTGTGAACCATTAGCCTACTCAGATTTATAGTGTATGTAATGATTAGTTAATAGATTAAGAAACAAGTGCTGAACGAATCGGGAACAACTTGAAAATTGATGAATTGTTAATAAGTAGTTCCTCAATCGTTCTTAATGGAGGACTATAGTAGATATTGATCAGTTACTAGAGAACCGACTGGGAGATCCCATATATTAATGAATTATTAGGTAATGATTAGTTCATGTTCATGTTCATATGTGTGAAACGATCATACTTACCACTCTCTTCATCCGAACCAGATCAATAGCACAAAACTAGAAGCAACTCATCATTACTAAGTATTAGTTACTGTATTTGAGGCCCCTAAAAGTAAAGTGGTGCATCATACTGAGTGCTTACGGAGTACTGAATCATTACTTTGTCATTATTTTAGGATTAATGCCAGTGATTCCAATTTCCGCCTGGAAGTACTGCTATAAATGCCATGGAAAATGCAAACTCATCTCTGTCATGGTTTTCTTTTTTCTTTTCTTTTAAAATAGTCAGTCGCAACCTTTGACAAAATGTCATTCTTATTCTACATAAAACTAAAAACTATTCAATTAAATCAATTATTTATAAATGTTCTGATGATTACTGGGTAACATATATGTTGTACAATAAAGGTACATCTTATCTGAACTTAAATGTGTGTGTGTGGCAGTCCTGCCAAGCCCACTCAAATCAGGTGTGACTTCCACAGAACTGATACGAAACTTCACTGGAACACGTAGTGGTTGATATTATAGATGTTGTAATGTTTACAAACCAAATATGCCTGTATTCAAGTTTTTATATATATAACTAAATCATCCTGGGTGGGTGGCTTTGTGTCCTCTCCTTCAACTCCTGTTGTACTTAGGAATTTGTGAATAGAAAATCATTTCACATATGAACAGCCAAAGGAAAACCATTGGGAAACCCCCTACCTCAATCAGCATAAGTGAAAACAATAATAAACTTTGGAAAAGAAAGTACATGTTTTGCCCTGATGTGTCAACCTTGTTAAGTCGCCCATTGTATTGCATTCTGTCTAAATACAAAAATAAAAAAAAATAAAAAAAAATAACCATCCAACCAGCAGATAAGTGGAGGGTAACTGTCATTATAAAGCAGGATATGAAACAAAAGTCATGTCAAGTTTATTAATAAAGCTCAATATCACACATCACAAAACTGTCTCGAGGAGCTTTACAGTCTGTACAGCATGTGTCATCTTATATCCTTAGACCCCTTCAGATAAGGAAAAACTCCACAAAAGCTAGGGCTGCTCAATTATGGAAAAAATCATAATCACGATTATTTGGGTCAAAATTGAAATCACGATTATTCAAACGATTATTTTTTTAAACTTCAGAAACTTGCTGCATTTATTGGACATTTGTCAAAAACACTTTGCAAGGAAGTCCTCAGTTACACTTTCCTTTCCCCATAAACATTTGTAAGTCTCCGGTTACCTGTTCAAACGAAAACAACATGACAGGAGAGGACGGCAACTAGTGTCGCGACCACCGGCGCAAGTATAAATAGTTACGGCGCTCCCGTGACTTCACATTGTAGCACGACAGGTCGGGAACGGCGAGTATACCGAGTGCATGACGTGCAGTGCTTGCCGCGGGGGAGGGACTGAAAATACGCATGCACGAAATACGCAGACTGTGGCTGTGTCCCAATTCAGGGGCTCAGCTTTTTTCTATACGTTGCACAACAGAAAATTTTTAAAAAATCGTTTCCCTACGATTTTATTAGTTTTGAGATCGTTTGGCCCCAAAATCGTAATCATGATCAAATTTCGATTAATTGAGCAGCCTTAACAAAAACCTGAGGGAAACAATAGCAGAAACCTCATGAAGAGCAACAGAGGAGGATCCCTTTTCCAGGACAGACACACATGCATAGATGTTGTTTGTCTAGAATAAACCAAGACAGTAAAATTACAGTATGGACACTTATTGGACACAATTATAGATAGACTGTAAACATATATGAAGCATATGGATCTGGGATATTCTCATTGGCAGGACAGACATTAGTACCAGACTTTCAGATGAAGCATAAATTCTTGATAAACTCAAGTAGGATCCTACACAACAATACAAGGATAAGTTAGCTGCGATTCTAAAACAGTGGATGGAGAAAGACATCTCCCACAACCTCCAAAGGAAACTGTACCCGACAATGAAAAGCATGCATCTCAGACTATGACACACAGTGATTGGACAGGTGTATGGAGATGAGAAAGTCAGCAAGATTTGAACTTCTATATGAAGCTCTCTTTATCATTCTCAGTCATGGGCGTAATATATACATACCGGGCGTGGGCCAAGATAGTGATTGTGAAATTGATAAAAGGTAGTTTTGGCCTTTATTCTTCTGGATTGATAAAAGATTAACAAACCAGTTTCTTTGGAAAACGACTCCTCAGTAATGATTACTCCATTTAGTGTTTGCACATTGAACCACAGCATCTCTATTCTCTATATAAAGGCAGCTGACTATTGGTAAGTACAACAGAATTCAGTAGATCAGTCGAATTCTTACTGCCGAAGCTTCACTGTCAGTAGACATGTAAGTGTTCAAAAATGTATTATTTTATTGCTGTGGACGAAAAAAAATTTCTATTTCAGATCTTAATGAATACATTCATTGTAAATTGTTTAAATGGGTGCATTCAGCATTCACATTCTGAATATGATTTATTTTTGATGTCATTATAGTGATCCACATTTGATTATATTATATTGAAGCTTCCTTGAAATGTCACAGTCATGCTTCTAATTTAATTTTGTTCACTCATAATCTTCTTTCCTGTCTGCAGTTACCCACAATGGCCAAATACATCACACACCTTGAACTGTCCCTTGATGCAGCTGAAGAGCCAACGTTCCGATCAAAAGGCTTCCAGAAAAACAATGTCGATCTGAACAATGGGGCAGGAGGAAAGTCCATCCATCTCTGGTACAAAAAAGAAAGTGGCGCAGAGCCAATCACCAGGATTCAATGCGCATTCAACAGGAAGATGGAAGATGGATTGATCGATGCGGGGTACCAAAAGGTCGTCGACTGGTTCATCCTTTGGTACTTCCAAGGGCAAACAGAGTACGACATTCCCATAGTGGACATTGATGTCACTACAGATGATGACAGTGCGGCCAGGAAGTTTACCCTTGGCTGGGAGAGACTGTCCTTAGACCTGGGATTATTTGGAACCAGGTTCCACTTCTGGCTGAAGAGAGAGAAACCAACATACATCTGTGATGTCTCTGCCACTGAAACCAACACATCAGACGGAAGGTACTTCAAGGAAGGTTTCATCCGCATCGATGACGACATCAACAAGTCTGCAGGAGGATCAGATGTCTTCACCTGGTACCGTCAGACCACCGACCCCCAGCGCGCCCTCAGTGATCTGAACGTCTCCACCAATGATCTTGAGTATCAGGTCCTTCAGCGGCAGAATTACCACCGAGTGAGTGTGAACCTCAACGAGGGGACCGGCGGTAACCAGGTGTACCTGTGGTACAAGAAACAGGCAGGCAATGATCGCATTAAGGGCCTTCTTCTCATACCAGATGTTGTTGAAGGTTATCGTAAGGCTGGTGTCAATGTTATTGAAAGAAATCTCAACGCAGGCAACAAAGGCCCCACTGAGTACCTGTGTTTTTATCAGTGAAAGCCTGAGAAAGCCTTCTTCATGTTAACAGAGCTGAGAATCATCAACACTAGTGGAAAGCTCAGTCCAACAATGCTGTTAAATCATTTTGGTGATTGTTTCTTCTAACTTTTTTTTTGCTTTTTTCAACCTTGCTGTCAATTAAATCAATCAAAGTATTTCAAATGTCAATTTTTAAACAATGATGATAAATGAATTGTGGAGTTTGCTGCTTTTCAATAAAGACACATTTACATCTTAAGTTTGTGTTTGTGTGTTCAGTGTGTGTGTTGTGTTTGTGTGTTCAGAAACAAAAGAAGCTTTACTTTGAGTATTTTCATAATTTTATTCAATCACTGTTACAATGCTAAAAAAACAGGGCCAATATTTATTTCTTATGACGTAAAAGTACTCTTAAACACAGCTCAGGAAGTCTCTCAAGTTGGTCAAGAGTAGAAGCCTCTTCGTGGAATATCATTGTTTGCACAGAAAAGCACAATATCTCTCAATATGTAAGTTATATTCTCTAATAACGTACATGATGCCATTTCATTTACCCATTCTTTGATACAGTAAAGAGCAATAAGCCGTTTGTCTTGCAAGATACACATATCTGCAAGTGTATATTCCTTCTTCCTTAGTTTTGAGTTAGATGGGTACAAACTCACAATGTAGATCTTAGGATCAAGAGGGAGCTCTACCGAAGTGTTCCTGTCCTTCACATGTTTTACTTCTTTCCGAAAATCCATAATTTTACTGCATTCCTAAATACAAGGATACAGGGTTCCTTTATGTTCGCTGCACTTAGTACATGTGTCTGGTATATTGTTGTCAAAGCGATGTCATTTTACTGGTGTTACATATATACACATTAACCAATTATATTGCAATAGTATTAGACGGCTATTTACAGATAGTTTCTGTGCATCTTCACAAACCGTGTTCCAATCCTCCACCGTTATTTCCTCATTCAAAACTTTCCTCCGTGCTTCTAACTTTCCCTCTGAGGACACTTGGGAAACAGAAATTAAGAAATCATAGAAAAAGCAAATCAAGCCTTTGTTATAACAGTCCTTTGTGACCTGTTCCTCCAGAGAGGAGAGGACCAGAGTGTCGTAGTTTTCATTTCGGCTTGTGTAAATAAAGCTGCGTAAGTTTAGATTCTTAAACACCTCTTGATGTTTCTTTAGCCTTGGAGTTGAATGCAGTGTTTGGATCCAGGAGGTCAAAAGAAGCAGCAGCGCCCTCTGCTGTCTGTAAAGAGAAGTGACAAAGCACCTGGGCTGTTTCCAGCTGGTTCACTGGTGAAGCTCAGTGGTGACTTCTCTCATTCCTTTTTAATCAACTTTATTAAATTTTACAAATATATTACACGTTACATAGACATTTTAACAATAAAGTGCATCAGTGAACATTGATAAAGTGCATGCAGTCTGAGAGTCTGAGGGAGTTCAATGTCTATAAAGTTCTGTATTATAAGTCCAGAATGTTCCATAGGAGGCGCTGACTTTTGTCCCCAGTCTATGTGTAAATGTTGATATTGAGTGATAAAATCTCCATATATTAACTTACAATATGGAGCAGTCCTTTTTTTCCTCTTCTTTTTCTCCACATTAAAATGTCTCCTATCCAGAGAGCATTCCTGCTGATGGCTGCAGATACATTTTTAACTAAAGTGATTTTTAATTTGTCACCAAGCTCTACTGAACCTAAACCTCCATATTCTTTGCTTCTATACAACAGTTCTCTTTTAGTGACCTCTCGGGTTGTTCCCAGATTAAATTCACACACTGTTTGTTGAGTTGGATTATTGTTTTGTTGGTCCGAAGAAAGATGTTTGCTAGGAAAAGGAGTTTGGATAGGATGAAGGTTTTGACAATATTTACTCTAGATTTTTAATAAGAATTTTTATTTTCCCATTTTTTTTTACGTCTTCTTTATTTCACACAGTTTGTTTTCCCAGTTTCTGTCACTACATTCACTGTTGCAAATGTTCAGAGTATTTGAATTTCCTTTTTAACTTCAATTATTTTCCATTTTCCATGCAGCAGAATTTGAATATTTAGTCAACAGCAAAGCTGTGAGTATTATGGAGGTACAGAAAACTGGTGTTTCTGTTATTTAGCCTACAGTCTGACATAAATGGGGTGGACAAAATAATAGAAACATCTGTCAGTATAACACAATTCAACAGCAGCACAAACCGCAGCCTCCAAAATGATCACACAGTTGAATAAACACCTCTCTAAAAAAACATTATAACCTTTATGAAGGGAGGATTTATTAAAGAACTGCATTTGTTTTAGGTGTACTTAATAAACTAGTAAATGACTGTATGACTGTTTTGTCAAACCCTTTTACAGTCAGCTCCAGCAGTACATCAGATTATTGTAAAAACCTTAAAAATACCTCAGTGATAGGGAGTTGTTCTGAACCATGATTTAGTGTCTGCTTTGTTGAACTTTTAATGATTTTTGTAAACTTATATTGTCTTTGGACATTCTGCCTAATGCCTTGCTCAAAATAAAGAGGAATTATGGTAAAAATGTTGATTTGAGTATGCACAGTATGTCAGCTCCCAGTTGTTTCCTCTAGTGTAGCAGCAGCAGCAGCACCCTCTGCTGTCTGTTCAGAGAAATGTAAAAGCTTACAGCACCTGGTATTCCCAGGCGGTCTCCCATCCAAGTACTAACCAGGCCCGACCCTGCTTAGCTTCCGAGATCGGACGAGATCGGGCGTGTTCAGGGTGGTATGGCCGTAAGCGAAAACTGCTTTCTCAAAGAGGCTATTTAAAGGTGCTGTGATATGATGTAGTCATATATTTTTAAATGTAGATTGTTTCAAAACAATACAAATAATTTTACAATGATATAAAATATCCATTATAACACACAGTGCATCTCCCTGTTATTGTTACATTATTCTATATCATATTAAAGCATTTATCAATACTGATGTATTACTGTGGAAGCAGTATTTTCATTTTGTTTTGGAGGACAAACTGCTTTAATTACTTTATAAACTGTTGAGTCGTTTAATCTGGAACATATCACAAAAATGTAGTGGAGAAAAAAAAAAAAAAAAAAAAAAAAAAAGATTATAGCCTTTAAGTACAATGTTGATTAAATGTATATATAATTTATTAAATAAAAAAAAAATTTTATTTAAAAAAAAAAAAAAAAAAAAAAAAAAAAAAAAAGTTTCCCATTCATTCTCTATGGTAGTGCTAAACCACTACGGGTGTAATGCGCACTCCGGCCACTGCCGCCTTTGGCGCTGTAACCGCCTAAAACTCCGTCTCGCCTCCTCGACTGTGTCAGTGAACAGAGAAGAGGAGAGATGAAGTCGACATCGCCAACTACTCCTGACATTTGGATTTGTTTTCTTCAACTAAGGTCAGTAACTTTTGTGACAAAAACGAGATAAAAGATAGGCTTATATGTACTTTGTGTCTTCTGAGTGTTGTAGGTTGAATGACGACGATGTTTGTACTTTGTCTCTGAGCGGCGCATCAGATTCATTTAAACTACAACGCGGCAAAACTTGCTAACGCCGTAATAAACAGTCGGTTTTTACTTTTGAGTTGGATTTACTTGGATATATGTTGTAAAATATTTCGTTTCATTCATGATATTTTCATTTCAAGTCGCGTTTGTGTTTTCTGGTTCAAATTCAAGCCCAAAAACAACACACACACACACACACACACACACACACACACATACTTAAGTTTGATCTTTCATGTCTTTCTTTTGTCTTATATATCTTATTAATGTTTAATTAAGTAGTTTTCTTACATTCATTTCTGTTTTAATATTTTATATATATCTTATATAGTTAGTCATTTTAAAATGTTACTCGACATCATTGTAAATGGGGACCAGCCCTGAGTGATTTTTAAGGTTTAAATAACTAAAGCTATATATTAAAGGTTTGTATTTAAGCCCATCTGGTGCGCCTACAATTTATTCTAGCTTCTATATATTAAAATCTGGTGCAGAAATTCAGAAAAAGAGTAATTATTTTGTACACTTTGGATCACTTGAGGAAAGACCACACACTTATAGGCTGAAATAATTTAATTGATCTTGTTTTTTAATAATAATAATAATACATTTTATTTGTTGGCGCCTTTCACAACACCCAAGGTCACCTTACAGGTATAAAAAAAACAACTGCAGAAATAAAATACACAGCACAATAAATATGTATAAAATACATATAAAAAGAAAATACAGTGTAGCTAAATAAATGAATGCAGAGAGTAAAACAGTTGGGGGCCAGAGTATTTATAGCAAGTAAGACTTTTTAAAAAGGTGTGTTTTGAGTTGAGACTTGAAAGTGTCAATGGAGTCCAGAGAGCGGATGTGTAGTGGAAGTGAGTTCCAGAGTCTAGGTGCAGAGCAGCTAAAAGCCCGAGCACCCATTGAGGTAAGTGAGAAGGAAGGGGTGGAAAGCAGGATGGTAGATGAGGAACGGAGTGAACGGGATGGGATATATGGCTGTAGCATACTGGAGAGATATGGTGGGGGGCTGGTTATGGAGAGCTTTGAATGTTAACAGTAGGAGTTTGTATTGTATCCGTTGTTGGACAGGGAGCCAGTGGAGGTGAATGAGCACTGGTGTGATGTGATCCGAGGACTTGGTACGTGTTATGATTCTGGCAGCGGTGTTCTGGATGGTTTGTAGACGGTGGATGAGTTTTTGTGGTAGACCAGTGAGGAGGGAGTTACAATAGTCAAGGCAAGAAGTGACCAGGGCATTTATGAGGACTTCAGTGGAGTGCTGGGTGAGGGAGGGGCGAAGTCTGGAGATGTTGCGGAGATGGAAAAAGGATGTACGTGAGATGTTGTTGATGTGGGATGTGAGTGAGAGAGTACTGTCCAAGATGACGCCAAGACTTTTAACTTCGGTTGAAGTGGGGACCGATGAGAATACTGAGGGGATGGGATTTTGAGAGTGATGATTTGGATCCGATGAAAAGAACTTCACTTTTACTGCCATTGAGTTTGAGCTTGTTGTTTGACATCCAGTTTGTAATAGTTTCCAGGCAGTCCGTGAGGGCAGTAGGGGGCGAAGCAGTGTCTGGTTTGGTGGTGATGTAGATTTGGGTGTCGTCTGCATAACAGTGGAAGTGAATACCAAAATGATGGAAAATATTGCCGAGAGGGAGGATATAGATGATGAAAAGTAGGGGACCCAGAACAGAACCTTGTGGAACACAGTGAGTGAGTGGTGAGGATGGTGATCTGGTATTTTCTC